GCTAATTTCACGGGATTTTTCTCCCAAAATCACAACAACCCAAATCAAGCTAATTTACACTTAAACCAAGCTTAAAAACATAGCTTAAGCTACCAAAATTCCCCCCTTTTCGCACGGGCAACAAGGAGAGCATGACTTTGGCAGACCACAACTCACACACACAGGATTTTCTCTCCATAACATCACAACAGCCCACTTAAACTAACTTCTACATGAATTAAGCAACAAAACACACTTAAAATGCTCTAATTGCTACCGGAATTCATCCCTTTTTCTGCAGAATTTTGGGCATCACAGGGGCAGCAAATTAACAGTAATTTGGACTTAAATAAAGCTGTCACATACCAGAATTTTCCTAGCACAACCGGACTGCAGTTTGGGGGAAGAAGCCGGCGGCAAGTGCAGGGGGAATTCACGCAATCTACCAAAAATTGAAGGAACCAAGAGCAATTAAGGTAAACCCAAGGCAATTCAAGTAAGAAAAGGGGAATTTCGAGCTATTTCTTACCAAAAAACCGAGCAATTCGCCCCCACAAAGCAGGAGCAGCCGGCGGTGAGGAGGAGGAGCAGAGCAGATCTGGAAATTCTGCAGAGGGAAGGGGATTTCCAAGCTTAAATCTGGTTCTTGAACAAGAAAATGAAGGGAAATATCAAGTTTCTCTTACCGGTTCTCAGGGGAAAATGTCACCGGTAGCTGGGCTTTGTTGTTCGGTGCAGGGAGAAGAAAAGAAAAGCAGACGCGCGGGTGAGGAAGAAGAAAGAAGGAAAAAAAAGTAATTGATCCTTATCCAAATCTTTTCCCTCTTTTTAAGTCCCTCAATTTTCAGAATATTCACATTAAGCCCCAAACAATAATATTTCCTCCAAAATAATTCCCTAACTTATATAATAAAGTTCTCAAAAATTTGGGATATTACATTATAGTTAAAATGTCATATAAAATTTTAAATTTACAATCTTATATAGTATTTAATAAATATGATATGATATTAAACAAGTAAATGTATATAATGTTACGCTTAAACCTCTTAATGAAAAATATTATTATATAATAATATATCATGTTGTATGTTTTACAATGTCACAAGGCATTATAATTATAGCATTTTTTGTATTATAAATTGTATTAGTTTTAAGTTATTAAGTATGAACGATTATAGAGAATTAAATGATAATATCCTAAACTTTCATATGATATATATAATTTAAAATTTTTAAAAGATAAAAAAAATATGTGTATTAATTTTGAAAATTTTTAAAAGTTGAGGGAGGCGGCCACCCCCCTTGCCTTCCTCCCTCCGCCCATGTCGGTACCTCCATTCCTCCATTTTCCGGTGACCATTTCTCTTCCTCCCCTAAAAGGCTAAAACCCAGTATGTGTGAAACTAGCACCGGGTTCCTCGCGAACCCAGATCAGACGAACCTAGCAACTAGGCTTGAACGAACCCCAATTGCTGGGTTTCGAAACCTAGATCTATGGGTTCAAAATTTCAATGTTTTTTAATGTCGGAAAAGAGAATATAGTCGATGATAGAACGAACAGAAGCCGAAGCAGTAAACGAGCAGGGGAGTCGTGTTGGTTGGATTTTGGTTTGCTTGGCTAGAAAATTGCCCAATTGGTGTTTGGATGCCGAGAAAATTGTTAATAAGTACTATTTCAATTGTTTGGATGCCAAGCAAATTATCTAGATTGATGCTAAGAAAATTATGCTGTTTAGGTACTAAGAAAATTTACTAAGAAAATTTGCTGAGAAAATTAGTGAAATTGAAATGTTAATTTTGATTAAAATAAGTATTTACAAAGTTTAATGAATGACTTAAAAGAATTATACCAAAAATAAATATGTTTTTAAGAGAGAAAAAATGTAATTAATAAGTATTGTGAGACACACCAGTCGGCTAGACGATATTTAAAATATATTGGTGAGTGGAATCTAACCTGGTGTAGTTTCCCTCCATGCAAGCATCTAGTCCTATTTGTTAATTTTTTAGTAGGTTTTTTCTTTTTTTTTGATAAGTGAAAATATATTAATAGAAGCACAAGGAGTACTTAAATAACTGAGGGAGAGTGGATATCGATCACTAAAGCTAAAGGTATTTCTCATCTTTTCCTTTGATCTAGCAGAAAAACTTCAACTCAAATCAACTTTTGCACTTTGTTTTCATCCCAGGTAGAATGATTAAACACAATATTATTTCTTGCAAACCATATGGATCAAGCTGTTGTAACACTACTAGAAAACATTATATAATCAACAAAAATATAATCGACAGCCAAAAAGCTGTCAATTATAATTATATCATTAACAAAAACTTTGTCAATTATGATAAAATATCGATTATATAGGTATAATCGATAGCTATTGTGGCTGTCGAATATACTGTCTATAATCGATAGCCATTTCTGTCGATTATACCTACTATAATTTCTTATATTTATATATTTAGTAATAAAAATTTAAAATTATTAAATGTAAAATTATTTTTAAC